CTCCTTAGGGGTTTGATCCTTAGTAGATATAAAATGAGAAACATTTTTATACTGCCATAAGGTTATGAATTTTACCTCTTTAAGTGTGTTAAGTGTTTCTTTACCTTATTTAAACATCTACGTAAAATGAACTCACCTGGTTTTCCTAGATAAGGCAATCTAATCCAAATCTTAATCAAGCTATCATCAGTAGGCCTATGTATACATTTAGGTTCATTTAATTTCTTAAGTACATTATTAACAACTTTTAAAGGGTACCCATTCCAAGACATAAACTTCCCGATGTTACTAAGCTCTGTTTGAAGTTTATCAGGAGTACACAATCTGTGGGCTCTAGAAACTAAACTACGAATCCAGGAGATCTTATGGTTCCATGGAGCAAAGCTATCATAATGGACATATTGACCTGTATGTGTATTTTTACGATATATACTCAATACTTCCTACACTGTTGTTAAATTGTAAATCCAGAAAGTGTACTGTGTCACTGTTTTCAAATGAACATCTCTTGGTATTGCAGCTGACCGTCTGGAGCCGCAAACTTACAAACGAACCAATAAAAACGTTCCCCACACTCATCCAGTTTTTGAGTGGCTGTCGTTTTGTGGGACCTTGCACACAACAATCCAAGGGGCGGGGTTTAGCGGAAAGGCAGTTATAAACACACCACACTTATCCACCCCGTAGAAAACACACTAAAACTTCAAAAAAAGCCTATTTGATTAAAACAATTATGGCTATGTTCTCACACGGTAGCTAACGGTTAGCAGGATCCGGATCCTGCTAACCGTTAGCTGCCGTGCGTCCATGCGAGAAAATCCCGATCCGGATACCAACAATATGATGATCGAATCACTGGCCAATAAGAAACGCCCTCAACTTGCTAACCGATAGCGCTTGTATCCGGATACTGTTAACGGTTAGCGCTAACGAATCGGGCGTTCTCACGCAGGTGCTAACGGTTAGCGCTAACGGTTAGCTCCCGATCCGGATACTAGGGCTCTCGTGAGAACCAGGCTAATATCTTCATTAGGCCTATATGAAAATTTAAATCTAATTTAGATTTATTTATTCCTATAAAGGTTTCTCCAACTCTCTTAACAAAGAAATAGGCAAATTACTCGAACTGTGAGTCATTGATTATTGAACAAAAGGGCGTGGGGTAAAAGAAACACGCGTGAAATTTTACATAGTTGCAAGACATTCGGAGTCTTTTTTTTTACTTCCAGAATACATTTGAACAATGGTCTTTGATGTTCATGATAACTGCTGGGATTCAATTCTTTGGAATGGTGTTCTTTCTAATATTTGCAAAAGGAGAGAAACAGGAGTGGTCAGAATTTGACGCAAGACAAAATGAAGAGATGAGAACCCTATTAAATAATTATTAATAATTCCGCATGTTGACTCAGAGCTACATCTTTTATTATTCCAAATTTTAGTTGGAGTGTAGCTAATAGTAATAATGTAAGTGTTATATAGCGCATATCTATAAAGTTGCCTCTATACGCTTTAAATGAATAAAAGATGAAATATCCTAATGCTTCAAGGAGAAGCCATTTGCTGCAGTTTGCGGTTTAGTTTCCCAACCTCGAGGTCGGGATTTCCATCCCTAGCTGAGCATTTCACTTGTGACCTTGAGCAAGGCACTTTATCTGCATTGCTTCTCTCCATCCAGGAGTACGACATTTTAAAAATTGCTAATAGATGTGCCAAGGAATGGAAATTAGTTTTAACCATGATAAATCAAATGCTAGGATAGTTGGAAAACGCATAATTAAAGAAAAGAGGTGGAAATTAGGGGACAAACCGATAAGAGAGGTAAATAGTTATAAATATTTTGGAGTAAATATTTCATTAAATTTAAGCAAACATACACATTATGAGCACGTCATTTATAGTTAAAGGTATCATAGCTAACCTTGACAACTTTACCCGAGTATACTATGGTGACAACTGTGGAAATCTATTGCAATTCCATCAATAAATTATGCATGTAGCGTTTGATATAGTAAATCCAAGAACGATAATGAAGACCTAGAGAACGTGCAACTACAAATGGCCCCATTTTCTGCTCAAAGCAACACACTATACACCAAGAGGCACTTTATGGTGATCGTGGGTGGGTACGCCTATCCCAATTACATGAATTGGCCAGAGCAAAACTGTTCAATTGGTGCATAATTACGTATGATCAGAGATAACCCAGTGTTGCACTTAACTCTATGCTTCACTTAAATGTGATTTTGATTATTTTAAATACAAATTTCTTAGTAGTTGTATTGACATACTTGCAAAATATACAATTTAGACTCACTTCTTGATATTGATAATGCAACTTTTGATTTTTTTCTCAGTCAGCACTGATGAGCTATATGTGTCAGAATCGTATAGTTTAGAGTAGTCCAATAATATAATGCAAAAAAATCAACATTAAATATGTATTCAAAATTAAAATCTTCTCCCAACATACTTGATAAAACAAATTACTTGAAAAAACAAATTTTTATAGTGCAAGTATGAAATTTAAGCTCACACTACCTTTAGATTTCAAAACTTGTAAGTGGTCTAATGATGTATCAGGTCTTTGCACACAATGTGGAAATGGTGAAATTGAAGATTTCTCAAATATTTCACTTTACTCGAGAACTTTAACGTAAATAAATTAACATACTCAAATTAACTACTTGTGTGACTCGCAAGATAATTACGGAATAATTACAAGACAAATGAAAAGGGATAGTAATTAAAATTAATTTTAAAATGATAATTATTTCATTATCCATATTAATTAGAGCAATTAAAAAACGGTCATCTACAAATTTGAGTGGACATAAATTTCAACCAAAGTCAGGAGTAGCAGTATGATGGTGCCAAGTCTGAACCTCGTGACTCGTGAAGCACCTGTGCAGTGGCGTAATCAGGTGATTTTCTCCCCACATTTTTTGTTCAAACGGGAAAATAATAAAAGTAAATTAATGAAAATAAATGGCAAATTACGTTACCTTAAACGTTAGCAGTCAAGTTATGGTGGAGTTTATAGCCATCGGTATCATATCGGAGCAGATCACAAGCTCCGTCCCAGGTTTTGCGCCTTGCGTAAAGTTCAGTGGATGTAATATCCCCCGACCCCTCCACCTATTTAAAAATCCTGGATACACCATTGTTGTGTATGTTACTATGGTATCTGATATTAGTTTATAGAGTTTTCAGTATTTGGATCTTTAAAAGCAACTGCAGATTGATTACAATGAGAGGCACATATGTGTATTAAATCTTAACTACAGATAAACAACCATAAACGTAACTCTCGCGTAATGATCGTAATTTGTATAAAGTAAAGTAATAAATAAATTAAATACAGATTATCAGTGGCAGAGATGTCAGGGGGATGAGGCGAGCCCCTAAATAAATATGAGTTGGTCATTTCAGATTGCAATGGGCCAATTCACAGAAAGATAATACTTTTTAAAAATATTTGTGTAAGATATTTGTTTTTCATTTTAAATGTCAAATGAGTAGGTCAGAAAAGATCAACAATCTACATAATCTGTGTTACTGTGATTAAAACTTACATTTAGCCTGTACTGACACTTATCAGGTTCAGATTGGTTCATCTTATTTCTCCCGTGTTTAATATTTTGTCCTGAAATGGCATCCATGATATGTAATTTTCTTCCAAGTTTGTACAGCATCTTTTCAGATTTCCTATTCAGGATTCTATAACAATGCGTGCTTTGGTCCTGGATCCCAGGGGGTGGGGCCCTAGGTGGTCCCCGTACCACATCCGTAGTGGGTCAATTCAAACTATCACCTCGCCACCTGCAAAAGTATTGAATCTCCGCGAATGAATCTTATGTTAAATAATAAATGAAATAAATAATGTTAAACTCTCAATGCTAAATTTTTGTTCTTGCTCCAAAACAATTCGGCCAGCGGTCATTAGAAAATTTTTATTTCAGGGCTAGTAGTGGCACCACAAAAGAATAGAAAAGAAGTGAAGCTCAAGTTTTAACGTAAGCCTACAGCATTGAACCTTGCATCACTAAAAATGTCAAATCGTTGTACCATGGTAGAAAAGCATTTGATTACATTCATAGTACACATCATTAGCATAATATTAAAATTCAGAACGGCGTTGCTCGTCGTGAGCGACGCTCATTACAGAAGTGAATGCATTAAAAATAAAATATTAGGCCTATATACAAAATAATGGTTTTGCACACTGTCTTTTCCATGTTAACCTCATAACTTTACATTTGTTAGGGTTGAGTTTCAGTCTGTTCTTTTCGGCTTATGACCATATAGATTGTCACCCTGAAGTGCAAGGCCAGTGACCCTATGACCAACACTTCTGTATAATAAACACATCATCGGCATATTTACTATTGAAGATGATATGATTATGAAGGTGCAACACATTAGCATACATAACAAAGAGTAAAGGGCCCAGTAATGAAGCTTGATGGACACCAGATTTAGCTGGGAGCCAACTAGAGACCTTTCCTTTTGTAAACCACCCGCTGGAACTTGTTTGACAGAAAAAATTCAATCCAATTCAGTGCTGAGCTCTTATATTAAATAGGCATATATTAAGTTCACTTGAGTCGAAAGCACGACTGAAGTCTAAGGAGGCCATATCAACAGCATAAAATTTCGATTCAAGTTCTCTCAGCCCGTCTGTTGCAGAAACCAAAGCTACAAGACCGACCCCGTAGAAATCCATGCTGTTGTTGCAAACAAAAGACTGTTATCATTACAGTCATCAATCAAATATTTAACAACACTCTTGTCAATTATCTTACAAACTACAGAAGTTAGCGACATTGGCATATATTTCGACCTGTCCATTTTGCCATCCTTATTCACATGATGAATATATTTAATAACGGATGACACCTGGCTATCCGTAGCATGAAACGCATTTAACCAAAGAAAATCAATAAGGTGAGTTGGTTAGTATTGGCATGAGATGTGAAGCAACTTGCAAAAAAGTGTTAAAGACATGTCTGCGACGGATTATTGATAGTCTTACCATTAATAATAAATGAGTCACCGATATGTTTTTTTCTCTTTAGTGGGGATTAAACCCACTTTTATTTCTTCTTTTCTCTTTGATTTTCATAAATCATGTCATAAAATATCCGTTTTATATACTTACAACAAGCTTAAAAATGCAAAGGCTCATGTATACCATAAGCTTAAAAATGAAAAGGCGCATATGCATACAATTAAAAGACAATTTTTTACGTGCATGTAGGCCTATAACTTATCTACTTATATTTTTATTCATTTACATTTGTACATATTAAAAAGGGTCAGTCCTGATGGCTGACTAATCAACGCATTCTTAATATTTCTTATTGTATTCAATATCAAATAGTCTTGACGTGGAATCCAAGTTCCATTTACAATTATATCTTAAAGTATGTGGTATAAACAAAATGTTCCAAGACTGTATATCATATTTAATTTTTTGGTTCCAGAACCAAGTACAATGTTCGAAAAAGCTGGTAAAGTGATCTAGGTTAAATTGGTTTTTTATAAAATTCCACATACTTTTAGCTTCTTTACATTCAAAAAAATAATGTATTTCATCGTCAAGTACATTACATTCAGTGCACAGATTGTCGTCAATAATTTTCCATTTGTGTAATAACTTTTTTGTGGGTACAATCATATGTAATAATTTAAAGTTTAGCTGTCTAATACGGTTTTCTTTAATACATTTTACTTTTCGGTTCCAAACATTATACCAGTTAATATTGTCTTGGTGCAACACTTGCTCCCATTTAAATTGGGCCTTTGTACGGGAGCTCAACAATATATCACCGATATGTTTTTTCTTCGTCTGCATTTGCTGAAGGACCAAAAGGGTTTCCTATTATCCCTCCTGTGAAAACTTTTTGTGATGTGCTTACTGTAAGCTAGTTTGGTCTCTACATTTACTCTATTCCTGATTAATTTATAAGCTTTCCATGCGTTTATGGTCTTAGTATGACGCGCCTTGTTGAAAAGGGTCCTATTCTTTATAATTAATTTGTGCACATCTTTTGTGATTCATGGTTTTGCTTTTTGCAAGAAGTTCGAATTGGAAGACACTCTTTTACACATTTGAAGAACATGTTAGTGAAAGTTTGTTATGCAACATAGATATCATCGAATTTGATCAAATGATGAAAATGCTCCACATCTGCTTTGTTATAACTGGAGACTGGCGAATAATGCTTTTTAATTGCCTGATGCACTACCAATTTTAAATAACACAATACTGTGATCCGAATTTCCGAGGCCGGCTTCAATTTTAACGTTAAAAACTCTATCAGGACGAGAAGTCAGAATTAGGTCTAGGTCTAAAAGACGGTGCACTTTAACATGTGTCAGCTCTACAGCGGAAACACAAGGAGGGCAGCGGATGGACCGGGTGCGCGGACCGGGTACCAAAGACTAGCAACAATCACAATTATCATAATTAAGTAAAACGAAGGCACACTGCATGCAAAAAGTTGAAATAGTTATAATGCTAAGTCAATTGAAGATAATTATCTTTCAATTATAATATTACAATCACATATGTTTTTAACGATAAAAACTTAAAACAGCAAATTATTCAAAAGTAGGCCTACACAATCGAGATTCTGGACGGCAGTTCTATTCCGAAGTCACAAGGAAAACAACAGATGTTGAAATAGTTATAATGCTGGATTGAAAATGATTATCTTACAATTATAATATTACAATCACATGCTTTAATGATAAAAAGTTAAAACAGCAAATTATTCAAAAGTAGGCCTACACAATCGAGATTCTGGACGACGGTTCTATTTAGAAGTCACAAGGAAAACAACAGAATATTAAGATAAACAATAAAAAGAATTGTTAAAACCGATCCTGATGGATGTAAACACTAAGGATAGCCCACGAAAGTTTAGAAGAAGACTTATTTCCAGTTGGGTTCTTCTGGTGGTGATTGGGCAGTACACCGGGAGACAATTCCCTACTCTTTACGAAGAGTGTACTGCGTTCTTTAACGTGCACATAGGCCATCAATGCACACGTGACCAACGGCTTAAACGTCTCATCCGAAAGACTTATAACTTGTATTTCAGCCCTCCAGCTGAAATACAAGGAGAGACAGCGATGGGAATTGAACCGGGGACCTAGAGATCGCCACGGTTCAGCGCACACACAGTGGCTCTTGGCAGGTGACACATTAGAAATACAAGGGCTTTCCCCATCAATCAGGCACCAGCCCACTATCCTTGTATAGACATAGTTTAGTTCGAAGTCAACATAGTCATCCTCTATCTTATCAGGGTGAATGTCGTTAAAACTTTTCAGGGTATAATGTACCTGTCCCTGTCCCATTTAAATATACAGTGTTAAAGTACTAGGTAGTATTGTAGGTTAATTAATTAATTAATTAACATTAACCGGCCGAATTAATATCATTTAATATCATTTCACTACATTGCTGATCCACCAAGGTGAAGAAATGTCATGTTAATTTGCTAAAGCATTGAAAGCATGAGGGATGACATGCTTCTCTAACCTCATAAGCATACTAAAATCATGAGGATTTTCAATGTGAACGGTTTCATATTCCATAATGATTAATTCTACTTTAGTTGACCATGGAATGAAATGTTTTTTATTTATTGAGGCTTGGATTTTCCAAGAAAATGACAGTTTTAACAAGTTCAAATCTTTGTCTTTATGAGCTTAATGATAAGCAAAATCTTCCAATGCCAAATGAATGATTAATTATTCTTTACAACATTACCATCTCTCGTTGAATGTTATTTTTGAAAAGAAAATTAAAATTAAGGTGTCAAATAAGTTGGTTTGGTGTCCAAGTTCCAAGTGCATAGATCAGGTATGATGTGTGATATATGAATTGTGTCAAACAGTGGTAGTAATACACCCACACTTTGCGAGCAAGTTGTGACTACCTTTAATTAGAGCATTATGTTTTTGCCCGTTTCTTTACGTCATGGTGAATTATCAGTATTGAGAAGCATAATCATTGTGTTTGTTGTATGGGTTATGATCTTGTTTCTAAATTTAATACTAATTTCAGGCATATTGTATGTTTTCCCCATTATAGGCTATTCTTCGCATTACCCCAAGAAGGCCTACAAGACTTTCAATGATTGCTATAAACATGTTGGTGCTCACATGATGATAAAAAGGATCTATAATATTATCCATACTTTCCTTCATCTTTTTCACAGCATTCAATGCATTCTCTGTGTCTCCCTCAATAAGTAATACTCTGGCTTTAATGTAAAGTATAAGTATGATTGGATGACAAAACTGCATTTCTTTACTTGAACTTTTGGCACAGTAAAGCAACATTTCATCAACATCCCAGGCAGAATATAGGCTTGTTGATGACTTTAACATTGTTATTTCCACACTAGCAAGCCTACAGTTCTTTTTTCTAAGAAAACAATCCAAGAGAATAGAGTCGCACATCTGCTTCAATTCTTTGTAGTTCCGCATTATATAATGGTATTTTACCACAAGGACTTTACCACCTATGCCATCATCACTGTAGTTGTCAGGGAAATTCATTTTAGCTCCTACAACGGTGTAGTACTGAAGAGGAGTATTCTGAAAGACAGCTAGAGCTATGTCATACATACACGGTTTACTGTTTCTTAAGCATACCAATAAATGTGTACAAGTATTGCCTAAGTATCTATACAAACTTGTTTTGAACATTTCACCATATCCCTTTGGCACTATCTCTTTAATATTTTCAATTATTGGCAGTATGATTTTCGCTGGAATACTGAAATTCTTCAAAGGATCCTCTAGCATGTGTTTCACAAATAATTCAATTAAAGAAAGATCGTTATATACAGCCAATCGCGCCATTTCTAATTGATTTTGTGAAGGAATCATTGATCGCAAAACAAAACACATGCCTTCAATGGTCACTGTTGCCTGTGAGTGGTTTAGGAGTGTGGTCTCTAGAGTTGAGTATTCATCTCCATCGTCTCTAGTGACATTCAGTTCATCACACATGAAGTTTAATGATGAACGCCCATCAAATGTCGTATCACTATCGACACTGAGTAAAACCTTTCTCCAAAGATTTTTCTTAATTGCTGTCAGTGTTTCTTTTACATTGTCACAATGTTCCATTGAGAGATGACCAATCAAATTGTGTTGTGGAATAAAATAATAAGGCAGATGTTTGTGTTGATAGCAGTCAATGAGCCAATCTAGAACTTTCCTTATTAAATCCATGACACTGTAATCTGTATGTGGAAATCTTTCGCACATCCACAAGCAAGCGGTCTTTATGAAATACGAGCAGAATGGTGTTGGTTTATCAGAATCACTGTAAAATATGTACTTTTTCTTGATTGATTTCAGGGCATACATGCACTTAGCATATGGTTCATACATTTCAGTAAGAAGTTCTCTCTCAGCTACGGAGAGTGACAATCTCCATTCTGTATCATATGACTCGCTACCTGGGTATCCAACAGCAACTACATGACATTCTAGACCTTTGACCTTGTCTAACAACTTTTGATATGGCCAGTTGTTCAGCCTCTTTCTGGTAAAAAAATTACTAATGAATGGAGGCCATGACTGACATTTCAAGCACTGTACTACATCCATCATATGGCTTGAACCTAGCTTAGTTTCTATTGAGGGGCCATGTCTCATCTGAGATTTATAGTTTTTCGCATTAAGCATAGGGTTATTTGAATAAGTGACTTTTATAAAATCACTGGTTTTCAAATATCCATCTTCATTAACGATGGTTTTGAAATCCTCATGCAGACAGTCTTTGTCAACTGCTTTAAGCCTCAAATACACAGGACGATCTGGATCTTGCTCCGCCATTACAAATGACCCTCTTTCGTTTTCTTGGGATTTCCACAGCACTAATGGATAATATGTCTTACATATCATCGTGTCTGCATCACCATTGGCGTTAGGAGGAAAGCATTCTTGCATACTTCCAGTAGAGTACAGCTGGTATGACCACTTTTGCAATCTTGATGCTTGTTTAAACATTTCATTAGTAATTCTACATTGAGAAATACTAGCCAACCTACTAGTCGTTTGTAATCTGATGGTTAGATTGGCAACTTCATCCATCGCTCGACGTATCTTATCGTGGCCTGTCATGGCTGAATTTTACTTGCTTTCATTAGGTTACCAAGCAGGATGCAGTACCCAACTAATAGGCACCTCGGTATACTGTGCTGATGCAATATTCAACAGACCAAAATGGTTTTAGAGAACAGTAGTTCCATATTATCTTCTTAACCAATCAGCCATTGCCGTAGCATACAAATAACAGTTGTGTACCCATGATTATAAAATGTTTGTGGTTTGGTTACACATTATGCTGAGACAACAATGCAGAACAGCATTAGTCCAGTAAAATATCACCTTAACCATTGCATAGACTTAGTAGTCAACAATATTCTCACCATAGGTTCTATATATCATGTAAACATCATATATCGATGTTGCGTCGCATGGAAGTTGGGATTTACGGAGAAAATCAAGTTTTTAAAGGCAGATTTTGCCTACCTACCGTCGTGAATTGTTTACATCGAGAATGGCGTCACGGGGCAAATTATATGATACGACGCTGCTGCCGTTGACCTTCGTTTTAAAAAGAAATGTATAAATGTACAAATATGGTAATTAGTATCTGTATTACAATATATTATTATGTATCACATATACAAAAAGTTGTTTTGATAATAAGAAACTCAAAAAAATATAAGAAACAAAGGAAGTTGTGATTTTTTACATGTCGTTTGAAGTGACCCGCCATACAATTTGATGACGCCCTCAATTCAAGCATTGCGTTATTTAGATACTATAATATAATGTACATTTTACGGTAGGAATCAAATGATTTGTACACTGGAGGATATATTTACTAGTTTGTTCTATATTCTATAGGTTTATTTACCGAAAAAATAATTAAAATGTAAATGTTATAAATTTTAATTATAAATATACCGTTACCGATATTAGAAAAAGCTTGATTGATGATGAATAATAGACGATTATAAGTGTAAACAATATTACAGAAGTAATTAAATGATAATAAATAATAGGCCAATTAACACCATATAATGAACAGATTTTTCTTTCTCCCGAAACCTGAAGACAATAACGGATGGTGCATTGGTGACAGTGGTTTGCTGGAGCCTTTGTGGTGTGAAGGAGATATTCTTCCAGCAGAAGTGATCGATGCCATTGCCGAAAACGACTCCTTTGACTCGGATAAGAGCAGTGACGAATCAGATAACGATAGTGATAGTGAACAGGACGATTAATTACATAGAAAACGACAACTACTAGAGTAATGATTTTTGTTTGTATTTATAAAATATAATTAACAATTAAATATGTTGACATCGGGAGCATAATTCAGATAACGATAGTAATAGTAAACAGACGATTATCTAGAATTTAACACAGTTAACTTCGTAAGTTCATGAGGGTTATAATGAGAGCAGGCCTAAAAAATATTATAACAACTTTGAAAAATTTAAAAGAAAATCTGTTCATTATATGGTGTTAATTGGCCTATTATTTATTATCATTTAATTACTGTAATATTGTTTACACTTATAATCGTAGACCTATTATTCATCATCAATCAAGCTTTTTCTAATATCGGTAACGGAAAATTTATAATTAAAATTATAAAATTTACATTTTAATTATTTTTTTCGGTAAATAGACCTATAGAATATAGAACAAACTAGTAAATATATCCTCCAGTGTACAAAATCATTTGATTCCTACCGTACAATGTACATTTTATTATAGTATCTAAATAATGCAATGCTTGGATGGAGGGCGTCATCAAATTGTATGGCGGGTCACTTCAAACGACATGTAAAAAATCACAACTTTTTTTGTTTCTTATATTTTTTTGAGTTTTTTTTATTATCAAAACAACTTTTTGTATATGTGATACATAATAATATATTATAATACAGATAATAATTTTTTTTTGTCTTTTGTGGGAGTAACCCACTTTTATTGTCTTTTTTTCATTTATTTTCAATATTTGTTTTCCTCCTTTTATATACATACTTTATACAATACCTTTAACAAACAGCATTAGGTCTTATTACCTCCTTTCTTTACTCACATATTACTATATCTTATCTTTCTTTAAACATAATTATTTATAAAGACTGCAAATTAAATACACATACATTTAAACATCCCCCAAAAATTATTACATATACATTTTAAGTGTTACAGTTCTTACTTTAAAAAACCTTCCATATTTTTTGTATCTCTTTCCACTTTTCTTTAGCCTTTTGTTCATTATTATACATGTCGCATTTAATTCTAAGCAATGCATTGTATTTAAAAGAACTATATAATGAGGTACGCCTTGATTTATTTAACTCTGACAAAATCTTTTCTTTGTAAATAGTAAAAGCGGCCGAAGTGTAAATAAAGTCGATTAATACATTCTGTGTTCCAATTACAAGACGTTTGAACGACAGGCTATGTATGTACCCAACAGCTCTTAATATATTTCGTACTCTTCTCCAAAAAGGTTTAATACTTATACAACTAAAGAGCATGTGTTTCTCATCCTCAATCTGATTACATTTATTACATTTGTCTGATTCTTTTACTTTCCATATAGATAAGTTTTTATTAGTTGGTAATATTCTATGTAAAAGTTTATAGTTAAACTGCGCTAATTTTTTATCTTTCATTTTACAAACTTTATGTAACCAGCATGATTTCCAATCAATATAATTATCAAAGAAATAAGCTTCCCATTTTTTTTGTCCAATGGGTGGAATGAAAGCCTCATTTACAAAACATTAATATACAGTTTTTGTTTTAATGCCGTCATATTTTCGGTTAATGTTGACAATATCATAATTGCAATTCTTTGTGACCTTTATGATATGTTTCCATTGATCTGGTATAGCTTTTAATATACATAAATATTCACTTAGCCAATTTGATTTACACCGTAATTTCACCAATAATTCCCCTGAAGATATAAACTTCTGATCACATACAATGTCTTTAATGAAAATTATACCGTCATTAATCCAGTGTTTGTAGAATAACGATTTATTTCCCAGCTGAATTAAGTAATTACCAAACAGTTGTTCGTTGATAATTTCCTCAAACGTATTAATTTCTTTTTTATTGATCCTATTATATTTTATACATTCCTGTATGATATGATTGTAAAAGATAGGAATATCATATGTATTATATATATTTATGTTAGATACTAGCCAGTAGTCAAGTCGGCGATAGATGTTGTTAATTTTTTTGCGCCAGGTAAATTGTAATTTATATATATTTTTCACTCGCCAACAATCTATTAGTTTTAGGTTTTTCATAAGATTTTTGATTGTGTATACTGATTTATCAAGTCTATTTGCACTTCCTTTCTGATCTAGATTTTTGTTCATTATACAGTTTATATCACCTCCTAGAACAACATTTTTACAATTTTCGTCAGCAAAATCATTAAAAAATTTATGTATATTTCTGAAAAACCCACTTCTAATTTTGCTATCATTTGGTGCATAAACATTGATAAGTAAAATTGGTTTTCCCTGTATTAATACATTAAGAAAAATGTATCTCCCATTTATATCAACTAACTTTTTGATAAATTTACATTCAAGCCCTTTTTTAACTAGAATAGATACGCCTCTACTATGCGAGCTACCTACACTATGTATCGACTCACCATCCCAGATAAAGTTTGACTTAAGTATGTCAGGTGTTAAATGTGATTCCTGTAGAAAAATTATATCTGCTTTTTGATCGTCACACCATTGAAATATTCTTCGTTGTTTGTCTTTGGTTCTAATACCTCTGACATTCAAGGTTATACAGTGCAAATTCATCTTTAGTTAAAGTGGTATCTATCAATACTATATCATGCATGATATATACGTCAATACCTGAGTAAATTTTTAAAAGGAACGGAAAAGATAATAAAAAAGCAAAGGATATACTACAAGGTATAGTAATTACCTTGCAATATAATGTATGATTAAACATTTGTATACTACCCAAAAATATTTAAAGCAATGCCCATGAATTAGGCAATAGATTTATTAATTTTTGCTATTTTTCTTTTTTCTTTTCCTTAACTTTTTTTTTCGTTACAATCTGGTGATTTTTTTGTTGGCGTAAGGTTCGACTTTTTACTTTTATCGGCATCCTCAAAAGCGGATTTTTCTTTCAGTTTGGTTTTGTTTCTTTTATCATGTTCATTTTCTTCTTTAGATGCTGATGATTCAAAGTAATCTATTACCTTCTTTTGTTCTTTTTAATCCCTTGGTTCTTGGGTGCTTTGTTCTTTGATTTCTTCACTTGTATTTTGTCCACATGCAACATCATCATCTGAATCACTGCAGCTACTTTCTGTGTCATTTACGCTGGTGTTATTGTGTGTACTAAATACATCATCGTTTGTGTCTTCCGTCTCTACATGATGTAGGTCCACTGTACTTGTGTCACATGTTGCTAACTTTTCATCTTCACGTTGCATAGTATCGTCATTAGAAGTTTCTGGTAATTTAACGAAAGAATCCCACATGCGATTGATGTACGAACCAGCAGAGCCCACTGAGATACATTGAGTATCGTTGGTACATTTGTCTTTGGTATGACCAGGCTGATGGCATTTAAGACAAACTGTATCTGACTTACAGTGATAGGCAAGGTGTCCTATTTTCAAGAATTTCTTACATTTTAATTCTTGTCCTTCATGAAAAGCTCTAGCTTTGAAACCGTTTATTGTCACTTGTCTTGGTATTGATGACGTCAATTTTTCAACAAATACGGCTCTGTCCACATTAAGCCAGCTAGTGAGTTGGCCGTTAACCCTTATTCTCATAATTTCTCCTATTGGTTTACATCGTAGGACTTTTAATCGTTTGAGTATCTCAGAAACCGAGACAGAGAGTGGAATATCTTTGATTAATATCCTGGTAGCTTCAGTAGAGTGGTATGCAATGTATAGAGTTTTGTCATATACCGATACGTTACATTTCCTTATGTTCAATCCATTTGTTATCAACTGTACTCTATCGTGTCTGTTGTTCAGATAGATCCTCCACAAATTTCGTATCTTTTGAACTCCAACTATACTATCTGGTGAAATAGTTTGGGTAAGCGCAATGCATAAGCTGTCTCTTATACACATCTAGATGTGTATAAGAGACAGATGTATTGTTGTGCTCTTTGTTTACATGTTCCGCTTGAGTGGATTTTGTAGATTGGCCTTTGTTTATTTGGTTGCCTGTAGCAACGCCTTCCACCGAGACGGCGGGAAACATTTGATTATAGGCAGACATTCAATGTGTAATAGTTTCTCAATATTTCAAGATTCACAAGCTTCTTCACAGATCGGAGTTTCTCTTTGTGTTCTCTGACATTAAACTAATTGAATTTACTTACTCAGATGGTTTTTCACTTTCAGTATCTCTAAAAAAAAGCGCAATTTTACGTAGAGGTAGCTATCGACTGTCACCTTGGTTTTAGACCATAGCGCCCTCTACAGATACTAATTACCATATTTGTACATTT